AAATTTGCATAACAACTACAAAACATCTGAATAGCGAGCATGCTTCACAAGCTTTGGACTCTGCATTAACTCATTAAAGTTGTTCTGAGAGTAATTTGTACATGGTGGCTATACAGCAATCCAAGAAACGCTGAAATGAGGTCTCAGTAAGCAGCAGCAATGCAAACTGCTTTATTTGTACTTCTTATGGACATTTTGATAGCTTAAACTCTAAGTATTCATGTATCCAAATCACAAGCAATATTCCAGCATATCAAAAAAAAAAAAAATTAAATTTAGGAGTTATAAAGCTCAAAAGCTATTTTCAGAACTCGATACACATCCATCCACTTCATTAAGGCAGATAACACATTCACAAGCATTTTCTGCAGGGAAGCAAAACAGGACTGCTGCTTTGTTCATTCACACACTAATGCCTAGTACGGTTTACGCTGACAGCTGTGTTATGTCTGTGTTACTGGCCGTCCAACTCGGCAAACTGGAAGGTTTACTACCTCTAGAGAGGCCTTTAGTTTGCTGTGTTGGTGAACACAAATACCTCTCCATCAGAGACAGATGACAGACTTTTAATAACATATCTGCAAACATATCCACAAAACTACTCAACTACATTTGTCTTTTAGGGAAGAAGAGATTACCTTCTCCGCTTTCTGCTACTTGGGAGGCGGAAGGAAAAGCACTTGCAAGATTATCTGTATTTCCCACAAAGGATTTTACAAACCTTTTTATTAATTTGTGACATTTCAGAAAAAATAAAAAAATGAACACCCAATTACCACTAACTTATAGGACAAAACAGTATTTATTCTTGAGTAGTATTTTACACTTCATCCTAATTACTGGGGAAGCTAGTTGTAGGAAGTTCACTAGAAGGGAAGTTTAAATTTAGAAAATTACGTGTTCAAAACAACAAATAAGAAACTTCAACACATCAAAGACTAAAATGTCCAAAAGAGACAAAGTGCAACCCATGCAATATTTTTCTTCTGCTTTTAAATTAAACTTAGCATAACCTCCTCTTGGTGATGCAGTAATGCAGATCGAGTCACTTTTCATGGTATGGAGGAGCAGAAAGCAATGACAGCAGCACAGGCAGGCCTTGCAGTCTATCTGCTTAAAATTCACACCCTTTCACCTTGCGTGTGTGTGGAAGAAGTAAGTGGAACAGAAAATCACTTCCACCTGGACCACTGCTTCTCTTTATCTGTTAAAGGCACATATATCACTCCCATCAGAGGCTTCATTTTGACACTGCCATCTTCTAGTTTGTCATACTGTTCGAGCATCTGGTTTCCCCCTGCAGGGCCAACTGGTAATATCAATCTTCCGCCAGGTTTTAACTGATCTATAAGCTAGAACACAACACAGAAATTAGAACGTAACCAGCCACTTCAGAGAAGCTGGATCCAAAGTTTTTTACATTAGATTAATAGCTTTGCCACAAGTTACCTATCTACTATCATGGAGTAGGTAACTACTTAGGAAAAATAAAAAATGCACTGAAAATGAGAGTATCACAACAACATGGTACAACAACTGGTATTACAGAAACATTCACAATAATTTCATATAATTTCGAAAGAAGGTAAAATAGTAATTCGATTAACTGGGTTGGTTGCAGTTTTAGTTTCTACATAACAGGGGAAAAACATGTAAATCACAAATTACTTTTACAGTAGATTCAATCTTTTTCAACTGCCAGTTATAACTGTTCGATACTTACTGTGCATCAGTACAGGCACATTGTTTAACATTTTTGGGGTAACTGATCTCCCCATAAGCCCTCAGGATAAGATTTGAGATTTGTGACTTAGTATTTATCTTCCTGGAATAATTTTAAGTTGTCTACAATACACTCACTACCCAACAGCTCCTCTTCCATTCTGTGAATGGAACAGCATTTTATGAAACTAGCCCAAAATATATGAACATGAGTAAGAACAGAGTAACAGCATATGAGAGAACTGCTTGGGTGCTTGGGGTTTTTTTGCGTTCATAATTAAAGAAGGAAGCTCATCACAGTAGTGTCAAGGAAAATTCAGTACTTCCTAGACACCATGAAGAAAAATCTTAATCCTTGTTACTAACAAAAGCTATAATCAGGAACTGTTTCATTCACTAATAAGCTTTAAATTATCCTTTTAATTGTCATCTGTCAACACTCTGCTGGGAACACACCACCTCCCTCCCCCAAAATTAAAAAAAAAAAAAAAAAAAAAAAGCCAATATCTGGAAACATCTAACTTGTCTATAGCTCCTCAAACCTCCAGCCCTTCACTCTCATTAAAATTCATATTTTAAAAAACTCAACTGGTATCTAGCATATCAAAATTGTGCTATACATTCCCATTCAGCTGATGAACGGAAGAGAAAAAAAAACAAAACTTATCTGCAAGAATGGATTTCATGTATGCACAGTCTAAAGTACTTAGTTACTCTTCAGCTTTTCTAACAAGAACTGCCCTGTATCCAGTCTGAAAGCTATGAACGCATGACATTGTATTTCCAGCTGAGCATATCACTTTTCCAACAGGCTCAATGCCTTGGAACCTGGGAAATAAATACTTAAATTTTGTAATTCAATGTTTGATAAAACCAAATTCATTTATTAAATAAAATGCTCCAGTTCATTGTCATAAGAGGGTTGTGCACAAGTCATTTTAAAATAATACGTTTATTCAGAGGACAGTTATTAGAACATAAACTTTTGCAAACCAACAGGAAGCCCAATTATAACACAAACAAAAACCCCACACCATAAAGTAATACCACCCTGCCCAGTGATACTCCCTGTAGTGCAAGTCTACCAAGTATTTTGCATATATATGTATGTAAAATGTTCTTTACAGCTAAGAGATTACTGTATCATACACATAAAACATAAAGGCTTACTGCTTGGGGCACAACTGGTGCTGCAGCTCCTACATGAATCGCATCATAGGGAGCTTCTTCTGCATATCCCATTCTTCCATCTCCCACTGCAAGAAAACACTTTTTTTTTTAACCTTTTCAAAAAGGAGTGGAGAAAACAGCTGATCTGCCATATCTATATGTAGATAAAAGGCTAACCTCAGGTTTCAACTAAAATTCTGCTGAGCAGTAATAATATTTTTAAACTGTCTTCATAATGCTAACACAATTGTAAGATAGATGCAACAAAACATAGAATACATACACTCATAAAAGACGCCAAATACTACTGAAGCACCTGAAATCAGAAAGTATGGATTTATAATCAAAGTTCTTGGAAATGCATGGTCCACCTAGAAAAGATACTTAAGTATTTATGTGCCCTACCACTCCAATGCAGATGACTTTTCCCCTCATTTACCCTCTTAGAACATATGCTTTGGTTTGCCTCGCGTTCACACACACCGTTCCTAAATATAATGCAAATAATAAGTCTAAAGCATTAAATCTCAGAAGCATGCATCAGAAGACTCCAAAGGTGAGGAAAAGACAAAGCAAGTATTCACACAGACTACACACCTATGACTGCACTCCTGGTTGAAATGAAGCCCACACCTACATTCACACATTAATGCAGTACCACATTAATCCCCAAGCACACCGTTTTGCCAGCAGATCGATCTCACTATCCTTCCTGCAGCAATTGCTGGACTAACATGGATAGCCAGGGCAGATGGGTGGCTCGAGCTCCAGGTGGCTGCTTGGAAGATGTTGGGAGTAATTAAGTTATTTAGAGTGCTACTGATGCAGCTTCAGCTTTGGTGGAAAACTCAGAGAAGCACCCTGTCACAGATGTCTCATACCATCCCAGTTACACAGGATGAAAGGGGAACAGATTGGGTTTTTTTAAGCCACTGAAACATAGCAAACTAAACTAGATTCTGAGTTAAGTTTTGAAAGAAGATGATGTGAATGTAGCATCCCCGTTATCTACAAGAAATCAACAGGAAATTCAGAGCAAGTTAGGCAAGCTGTCTCTGCAGTTACCTAGGAACAAAAGAAGTAAATGAGGCTAAACCATCCACAAATTCATACTGAATGAATGCAGAAGTCCCAGTAATCAATTACGAAGAAAAAGCAAGGACGCTAATGAACATAGTTCTCTGCTCAGCACAAGTAGTTTGGGGTTTCCCGTCTTCAGACTGAGTTTCGACTTCTGTGCAGTCACTATTATCACAGGTTAATTAAAAGGCTGAATGAATCAAAAGAAGATCTAAGCCCCTGCCAGAGGCTGAAAATTTGTTAACTTTCTGCCTTTCAACAACTCACAAAGCAGGAAAAATAAATGGTGGCCGCAGCAAGTTTCATTTGGACCTCAGTGACAGGGAGGGCCACCTAGACAGTAACAACACCTGTAAGTATCCAAGAGTGTACAGGAAGATCTGGACAGCTCCTTAAAATTATTAAAATTGAGGAGTTTGTCATCTTTCACATTAGGTTCTGAAACAAGACCCTGCAAGGATCTTCTACACCCAAAGCTTAAGGATTATAAGAGAGCACATTTCCCCAGTAGCTGAGAAGCCCCCTAAAGCTTAGTGACTTATTTTCTCGTATCATCAATTCTGACCAGGACAAGGTCCAACCAAGGGCCACAGGCAGAAGCTGCCAAGGAAGAACTACCAGTGCTTCAAGAGAACCCATGCCTATTGACCACCAATTCCACTAAGTCAGATTCTATTACTGCTGCCAGAAACAAAGATGAAATTTCCAGTATTTCCAGGGCTTAATCTGTCTGACTCTGCCAAAGTGGGTTCTACTGAAACAAGCACCTCAATGCAGTCAAGTATATAATTTATATTTGCTTATATCTTAGTAGCACTGTAGACCTCCTCTAAAGAGGAAGTATGATGTTAGTGTTAAGCCGCTGTTCCATCAGAAAAGGCCATGGAGAAAGACTTCTTCACCTCAAACATACAGATACTGCTTTGAACAATGTTAAGTTACATAGGGAGACAGACTCTCATTCCCTAAGATGCAGCAGCAGACATTAGAAGCAGTGATCTCCCGTACTCCTGGCAAAAGAAGAAGAGATTGTCTTCTGAAGAACACCACATGTATTCTGAGACTTAAATGCACCTTGCGCACTGTCCAGAGAAGCCTGAATGTGACTTCCACACACCTTATCACTTCACCAACAGTGGTAAAAAGGACTCAAAACACCTACACCTTTTGCTCTTAGAATTAATAGTCCAAACCAAAGCTACCATCTTCAGAATCAGCACACACTCACAAAAAAAAAAAAAAAAAAAAAAAAAGTTCCTTTATATGCATCAAGCACAGCGTGCCTCTTCCCTTTCAACATCCATAGAAATTCTCCTGGCTACAGCAGTCAGGTATATATCCACCAATAATGGGAACATGCTTTCAGATATCCAGAAGATTTTTTTTTTAAAAAGTCAAGTCAGCATTCATATATTCAATGTGATACAAGTTATTATATTATTCAATGTTCAAGGGGAAACAGCAGCCTAAATTTTGAGCTTGTGCTTACAACCCGAAAAACACCACCCATGCTACTCAGATCTCCAGTTACGTGCAGCCTGTAATCACGGTGGTGGGTCAAGACGCAGTGGGGAGTAGTGTCAGGCCTTTCTGACATAAAAGGGTTTTGTAGCTGGTTTTTGAACCTAGACCTGATCTGCTGATCTTGGTATTCAAGCCTTCAGTGTCTCTGTGCAGACCTGTTTCACACACAGGTGCAGCATAAGCATAGAAACAGAAGATGACTATTTCACTGTGGTTAGAATACCCTCATCCCCTCTGGCTACATCTGCATCAGCAAATAGTGCAGTATAATAGAAGCAGATCTGTACAGCAAAACCTGATGTCCAGGCAACACAGGCATTTCAGAACGATCACTCTGGTCTACTTCTAGTCTTATTGGTTTAATATCCATTAACATATCAAACGTATCTATTTGCTTCTCAGAGCACATAATCCACTCTAGTTTCATCCAAAAGGAATCAAAATTTGTGCTCTCCAGTACTCTCATGAGAGCCAAAGTGTGGTTAAGTGGAAGCAGTTGAGAAACTGACCTCAAAGGCACTCTCCTCATTTTACGAAAAACAAAACAAAAGACAAAACCACACACACAAAAAAGCAAAACCCCCTACAAATGAATATAGACATACCCTAAGTATACCTATTCCCAAGTTCTCAGTGCAGTTCTATTACAGAGACATCCCAAAATAATGTTGATGCTTCTGAAATGCAGTTATGGCATATCTGAGGTGAAAAAGCAATGGAGAATGTTTGAAGCACGCTTGCGAAAAGACTTACCTAGTCTTAATTCATATAGTTTCCATCACTGAGTTTTCAGGGATTTTTTGTTTATGTGTTGGGGAGGAGGGTGTTTGGGTTTTGTTGTTTGTTTTGTTTTTAAAAACAGCTCTGTCTGGATTCTAGCTCCACAAAAAGCTCCCACGAATCCAGCACAGTTAAAACATCCTCCTTCTCCATCTAATTCACAGAAGTGCTACGCATCCATCTGTACTTTTTTAAACTGTACCTCACAACAAAACTATTCAGAAGTCTCTTAGTCATCCTGCTATACAGTCAAACGTAATACAGATGATGATGTTAGAATTCTAGACTCCCAAGAGCATCATAGTTTCTTCCAGGTATAGCCAGAAGCGTAAGTCCAAAATGCTTTTATACAGCAACAATGGAAATTATCCTCCCATTCCCCCTCTCCAACCCCAACAGTCTTATTCCAAGAAATTTTAAGGCATAAGTGTTCTCAGTGAGGGACACTGTGTTTTATACACGTGTACAAGTATATTTGTTGATTGGCTTATTTAGAAAAGATTCAGAAAACTCCCTCATTTACAAAAAAAAAACCAAACACAAGAATCAAAATAGTAATTAAAGAGCCAAACATCACACAATTATCATTTTCCAAACACTCTTGTAAGAATCCTCAAAATAATCCAGACCTTCAACTTCTTTTTAAACCTAATGACAGAATGATAATGAAGGGAATGCTTTCCTCCTGCCAGCTTTGCATCTTTTAAGGGTGAAAAAAAAAAAAAAAAGCAGCATCTTTTTCTTTTTAGTCAAAAAAACCCAATTCACTGTCCTTGTATAATTTTAGCATTATTTCCTCTCAGAAACTGTCTTAATTAAAGTAGTTTTTTGTCAATTAATCACTTCTCTAATATACAAACACTGGTAATTTTAAAAACAAGTGAAATGAACTTCAATGATACAGTAATTGAGAAAGCTGCATGCAGAGAGTTGAGTGGAAAAAGTACTAGGTTGACAGTATGTATCAGAAGTATGAAAGCTTTGTTAAAACACTCAAATTTAGATGACAGTATATTTATCCAAGAAAAGTTGTGCATTCAAACTCAACTTTAAAAAGTAAATTTAACATGACAGACCTTCAGCATCTAAAGTGTTTTCACCAGCAACACTTCCCTGTTAAGGTTCTCTAATGGAATGATTACATGTTCTCTAAGATTACCAGAAGTCACAGTCTCAAAACTGCGTGAAGATATTTTTCAAAGGCCGAAAGACAATCTGGATTTTAAAATTTTCATTTGGCTCTTCTTTCTTTGATTTAACTTCTTAAATTAGAATTTTTAATCACTTCTAATTCCAGTAATTTTCAACCAGCTGCTAGAAAGAATATCAGTTTAATTAGTAAGTATATCAGTCTGATGCTCACCAATCAGTTTCACTCTTCCTGAAGACAGCAATGTGGGATCATCTTTTTTGACATTATTTATTGAGTCATCTACTAGTTCTTTGATATGATCAATTCCTACAACTTGTCCTTTGGGACCAACCTGAAATAAAAATATACAGTTGAATAATTTCTGCTAGTTTTGATTTATTTATAGAAATTCTATCTCCTGAGCCCATTACTCTGAAATAAAAACAAAAACAGTAAAGTGGCAGTATATTTTCCAATGTTATCAGAACTACTACTTGGAATGACACATCCTGACTGCTAGAAGCAGCTAGTAATTAAAGTTTGTCAGTACAGTCTTATAAATGCTTGTTATAGTCATCTTTTTGAGGTTGATTCAGTTAAATTATGCTATTTGTGGAGATTTCTTCTCTGAATTTTTAGAAGTTAAATTTAGTCATGAGCATTTGCATTACCTGGAATAGAAACTAACAACTTCAAGGACAAAGACTAGAACTAATCTCCTTTCATGTTGAATAAACTTACTTAAAGATTAAGGTTTTTCTAGGGAAAACCTTACTTCAAGGAAAATATTAAGTCATGCATTTTATTCTAAGTTATCTCAAGAGTCCTCTTCTTTCAGAAGCAAATGCAGCAATTAAGAGCCACAGGACAAACTACCTTCCACCTACCCTTGTATTCATGAATCTGCTTTCAGATGTACAGCTCTTCCACAGGATGAGTGGAACTTTTGAGAGCTTGTAACTCACAAAAGGTCACAAAAGATCTGTGTATTCTGAAGTGAAAAAAAGGTCTACTAACAAAAGCTTCTCCATTATAGGTATTTCTTCTGGAATTGTGTCTTTATTCCAGAAAAATTATTCCAATTTTGGAGAGAGGATAAAGAATCCAAGTCTTAAAATTGGACTATTTTTAACAGGATCCAGCTCAAAGAACACAATGGCAGAGTATGTCCTAGCAGCCTATGTTGTCATACAACTTTGTCTTTGGACACATTTGACTGCATTGGTTATGTTTCTGTATCTTACATTCTAATGTTGCTACGACATGGACAATTAGTAACTGGTTATCAATATCATGGGGATTTTTTTATATTTTACTATGGACACCTCCCGCGTTAAAAATATCAAAAGAACAGTCTTATCTCTCCTTTTTTAAGTGGAAGACCACCAGCCTAGCCTTTGAAACAGAGAAAGACACATGGCAAGTTTTCACTATGACAACCACAGGTTGCTATTTGGAGGAACACCTGGCAGTCAGTTGTACCAGAAGCTGGCAAAAAATCCAGTGTAGTCCAAAGGGTAATGTCACAGAAATTAAAATTTAGCAAAACGGTCACAGCATGAAATAGTCTGGTATAAAGTAAGCCAATCTCCTGCTACATGTCACAGTCTGTTACGCTATTTCTGAGTACTCAATTATCTCTATTACCCTGGAACTTTGAAGTGTGTGCAATCAAGACAATAGCAAAATGGCACAATTTTTAGGATCTCCATGGTCTGTTTGGAATAAAAATATACCTCGCTCTTTTTATAATTCCAGTACTTACAGGATGAAAACTACAATTTATTTAATTTGCCAGCAATCTTTAAAAGCTAATGACCTTATTTAAGTTTGTATGCTACGTAGGTTAAGTTTATTGCAGTAGTGTAACATGAAAATCCAAACAAAAGTCTTAAAGATGCTTCACTAGTCTAAGTAAAGATAAAGCTTTCCCCTAAGTACCACAAATGAGATTATTATTGTAAGAGTAAAGCCTTTATGGCATCAATGTGCACTCAGGTACTTGTGCCGCAAATGCCAGCTATTCATTCTAGATCTCAAATGGACTGAGAAGCAACATCCACATGATCCAGTAAGCGCATCCCCAATTGAATTTTCATAGCAAAACACTTCACTGTCAATCCCCATAATATACCTCTTCCAAGCTTTTGACACTGTTAGAAAGACCTTTACAGAGAAATAAAGTCAGAGCAGTACGTATTGCCTTATCTACATTCATTCAAGCGGTTGAAGCAAGAGCTGTGTTGCACAGTAGTGATGTTACCAAACAGAAGAAAAGCATTTATCCAATGTTCCACACACCACATGTCTGTAAGGCATTTCACAGAACACCACCAAAGAGGATTCAGAAGAGGAACATGACACTCATATGGCAATAAAAAGATAGTGTGAATAACCTCAGCAAAATTAGGAAGATAATTCCTTTCTGTGGTAATTCTGACTTCTCTGCAGATGTTTTCAGCCTTTCTTAGAAAGCTGTTTTAAAAGAAAAAAGTGCACAATACCACACCTTATCACATGTCTTACTGAAAATTGCTATTCCTCTATGCATTCATAACTTTTTAGGAGAAACACACATAAGTTTAACAAAAGTTTTAACACTTGTAGGATTGGAGTTCCCATGCGTGCTACTAGCACTTGGTTATTGACTATAAAGTTAGACCAAAAATCATAGGTAGAAAGTTAAATAGTTGACATTTAAGACTTCCTCTAAATTGCAGTTCGGTCAACTTATTTCAACTACCTTTTTTTTCTTTAAATTTTGCAGCTAGCACTTAAAAAACAAATACGTTTGCTAGTGCATTGCCCAGTTCTAAACATTCTTATCTAATTCTTAACACAGGAAACCAGAAGTGATTGCAGACTCAATAGATCAGTGTTTGAAGACACAAAACCAAGTAGCCAAAAAAAACATGCGAAAATTTATCATATGCATCCCTATATTTCAAAATTAACTTCTCAGAAACACAAAAATAGTAACCTAATTGGCTGTTTAATGAAGGTCTCTGCTAGTTATAAAGCAATGATAAAGTCCTGGAATGGAAAAGGAAGAACTGACTCTATTCCAGAATATAAAGTAGTCTAACAGTACTGTAGTTATAGCCATCATAAAACAATTTTTTGCATCTTTTTTCCTATTGTAAGATAGAGTGGACCCACAGAGAATTACTCTGGAACATGTACAGGTTGAACAACCCAGAGATTAAATTTTTTGGAGAAGAAGTAAAAAGAATATAAATTAATATCCAACTTTGAAAAGATTAAATGGATACTTAACTGGTGCTCATGCAATATAGTAACAAGAAAAACAATAAGTTAAATTCAAAGACAATTTATATACATACAATACATTTTCCTGTGCAAACAGGATTCTTTTAGGTCTCACTAAGCTCTCATCATAGGAGGAAGACATGACAATTGACCACAATGAGAACATTCATAACTATACAAGATAATATAAAATTGGGCTGGACAAGACAAACACCACCTAGCTATAAAAGAAACACTAAAATGTAGTCAAGGAAAAAAACAAACAAACAAACTTCCCCTCTAGGCAGTTTCTTCACCATCACATGATTTACTGGACTCTAACTCAACCACGTAGGGTAAGAAATGCGTACTAACCACACGCAGGAGAATAAGTTATTTTCTGTATAATCTATGTCAGTGCACTGTACAAATGATGCTTCTTTTTTACCCCCTTTAATTCGGAGTTATGTTACAGTTCAAGCAGTTCTGATGGTCAAGAGACTAAACTAAGTATCTCACCATTCGCGAAAAGCACGCTGTAAGGATTCCACTTCCAGATCCTACATCGAGTGCTTTGGCTCCTTCATGTAACTGATCAGACAGAAGTTCAAGAGCATATGCATGCTAAGAGAAGACAGAGACAGAAAACTTCAAAATATTTAAAGTATCTGTTTTACCCAATATATGTTTATTTCTTCAGTGATTTTGGGTAATGCACTAAGCATTCGTGTAAGATATTTCAGAATTATTTTCTATTGCAAAAAAAGCAGGGGGCGAGTTAACTACATGATATAATCATTGTTATTTCATTGACTTCAACAAATTCTGGGGGTGTGTGTGTATATAGATGTTTGGGGTTTTTTTTTTCCGTTTATATAGATACAAACTCATCTGAGCATTCAAGCTTCTAGCACACACTGAATTTATATACACTTATTGAGAGAGACACCTGAAATCGATTTAATTCTATTCTGGTCTGGTGGCTCTTACTGTTCTGGCAGTATATGGCTCATAAAGAATTTAGTTTATCACTATGCTATATACACTGAAATAAGCTGGGACAGAGGCTAGCTAGGAAGAAGGCAGCTCTGGAACATCAAGAAAAATGGCTATTAAAACTACCTCTTGTACTACCTGCACACTTGCTGAATCAAAGAGTAGGAAAAAGAAGTTGCCTTTTACAAAGGCAGATAGCCAGGCTCATGTATGAAATGCAGTAGTCTACAGACACGCTTCATGAGCAGTTTTGCTTTCCTATGTGATGTACCAGTACACAAACTAAGCTTAGGCTGCACACTAAAACAACAATTCCTCCTTCAAGAGATAGCCATTACCACACTCTTATAGCTTAATCCATCACATCCGGAAAACAGAAATAATTAGAACATTTATTGTTAGAACGTTTGCTTAGAGGATACATTTCCTTTTTGCTCTAATACTTCATACACTGTTAGTGCTAAATATAGGTTAATTCAAAGATAACAACTTAAGTGAGTTAAAATTTTGAGAACATAATTAATACTGATTTTCTCTCTTAGCCATAGTACTTCTTTCTGTCTTTCCTTGAATAAAATCATTAATGTTTCTATACGAAATTCTTGACTTTTTTTTAATACTGATAACTATAACCCAACTAGGTAGTTTTTAGTAAAGAGGAGCAGACTTAGTAATGTTATGTTTTGACAGTTTCCAAACATTGCAAGGACAAAATATATGCTTCTATTTATGCTTCATTTCAAACAAAGAAACATAGAAAAATTATGTTAGTGCTAGATCTATGTTCTGAAATCCCCTCTTAACACTCAGTTATCAATGTCCTGGTCTCAAATCACTTGACAAAAAGCCTGCATCTCAATACAATGTTTTGGGTTTTTTCCTGTCCAAAGAATTAAAGGCATTACAGCAATATGATACCATAGAAATCACTGTTAGCCACTCCAGAGTTCTTATATTTTTATAAATTACAGAGTCAGAAATCCTGTGGTCCAATCCTTTTCCAACACAGGGGCAATTTAAATTAGGCTGCTTAGAGTCCTGTCCAATCAGCTCCTTTGTACAGCAAAGAACGGAATTTCCACAATCTGCAAAACCTGTTCCAATGCTTAACAATCCACAATAGGACTTTTTTCCCCCTCCCCCCTCACCCTATAAACTAATCAGAATTTCCCATGTTGCATTTTTTTGTCCACTACCCCTCACCCTACCACTGTGCATCTCCAAGAAAAGTCTGGCTCAATCTTCTCTGTGCCCTCCTACTACACAGTTCACAACAGCATCACTGCAATCAACTGTTCATTAAATTTGCTCGGTAACTATTTCAGAAGCATTTGGATGTCTATAAAGTCACCTACACTACTCACAAAAGTTTAAAGCTTACCATATGTGGAGCACTGATTGTTGCTTGGAAACCTGTAAAACAAGAGAATAGAGGAACATCTTGATCGTTGTTCAGACAGCAACCTTGACTGTAAAATGCAATACCTCAATTGTCACCCTCATTCAGGGCACTACACACATCCCCCCCTGCCAATGGTTACACAGGTACTGCTACTTCAGAAGGGAGTTAATATAATCTGAAAGCTATGCCATGTCAACTCTGGATGGGAAAAAAAGGTTCCATCCTTGATCTCTGTTACAATCTCCATTTTGTCACTATATTGCCTTAGCTTGATCAAGTATGTCAAGTTCAGAAGAGCAATGTCTCCCTCAATAACGTAATGCCTTTTTCACTCGGTCCCTATGTAAAAATCTGGATTTCTTAGTTTGAATTTGATATGGTCGGGACCATAGAACTTCTGGAGGCAACAACCTCATCTATTTTGCAAAGAGCACATACCTATGAGAAAACATGAAGTAATACTCACTTATATTTGTTTCTGTGGAGATAGATAAGCTTTTGAAGATGTATAATAAAAGATTTTTCAATTTTCCTGTACAACTAATACAATCCTATTACAATTCATTATTCTCACCACTCTCTGTTAAAGAAAAACATCAATAATTTTCCTATCGAATAACAAAATCTTATTACCATTCATAGTTCTCATCATCTACTATTAAAGAAGAAAAAAAAAACAAGAAATAAAATAAAATAAATTGGTACACTTGTATAATTCATTCTCCTGCCTTGGAAAAAATAAAACTGGGATCTGGATGGGAAACAATCTTCCTAAACAACTGTCCTATCAGCAGATCTTCGCATTTAAAGTCTATTTTCATATTAAAAAAAAACAAACTCATGTAAAAGTTTCAGGAACTCCACATTGATCTCAACTGAATCATTTCTGTAAAGAGAGACTGTTTACGATGTAAACTGGATACAAATTATTTTTAAGTATTTAAACATCAGTTGCATCATCACAAATTGCTGTGGTTTAAAACATAAATATATATTTACAGGTACTAATATTCATTAAAGGACATCCATTGACTTGATGTATCCAAGTATGCCAATTGCATTCCATAACAATGAAACTTAGTTAAAAAGTATTCAATAAACTAATAAAGAACTAAACACACTTCCAAATTCTAAAATCATCTTCACATTCTTAACATACACATGACAAAGGCAGTCACGGTTATGCAAATCAGATCAATCTCAATCATTTTTACTAGATGTTCTTACCTATAGACTGTGGAGAATCCATGTAAGGGTTGTATTTTGCATAGTGGCAACGGTCTGTAGCCAGCATTACTTCAAATACCTTGTCTGATTTGATTATTCCATTTTCTATAAATAAACAAATAAAGAAAAAAATTTGAAGGCATTGTTTCCCTTCTGCAATGCAAGAACATGGGAAATAGATTAATATATTCCTAATACTGTGAAAAATCATGCTACCTTACTCTCTCTTTACACTCCAACCCTCATCATACTAGAATTTAAGTCGTGGTCCATAGATCAAACAATGCTTAAGCCAGTGATCTTTGAACAAGACTTTCCCAGCAGTTACAGATGCTTTTCTGAAACAGCAGAGACAATTTGCAAAGACTTGTCTCCCAGAAAAACTCAACTTCATGCACACCTTTGATATTCCTGTAAATATAGTAAAAAAATGATATTACTCTACACTCTAAACAATATATATAGCTTCTTAGAAATACAAAGTGTGAGTGAGTAATTACTGAAAAATATACAAAAGCAGGTTAGAAACATGAAGCTGCCGCATCAGTATTTTATTTTCAAGATCTGTTTCTCTTTTGTATTGGCAAAAGAAAAATCCTCTCGTAAAGAAACTCCTACAGAATCAGAATTCTTATGCTGGGGCAGACTGAGGCCAATGAGTTTTTATATCAAAACAGTTTGAATCTTTGTTCACTTTTCAAAATAAAATGTAAATGCACATGCACTTAAAATGTCAGAAGCACTGTGTGGTGCAGCCATTCTTCCTTGTAATTTTATTCAAGTTTTTTTTAACATTGTTTTTTTTTAATGTTCTGAAGAGACATTAATGAGTAACAGAAAACTTTAGAAAACAAATGGAAGAAATTTATCACTTGCATTAAAAAATACAGTATAAACTACCCTTACTCCCAACTACCCTTACCGACTTCGGGACATGACATGGGATGGAAAACAAAGAGTGGGGATTTAAATAATTGGCTACAAAAGCGGTGTGAGGAACAAAACCTAGGGTTCTTTAACCATGGGCTGACCTTCTCAAGGTCAGGTCTTCTATCCAGGGATGGGGCAGATTTGTCTCCATGGGGGAAAAGGCTACTTGCTGCAGAACTAGCTGGGATCATCAATAGGGCTTTAAACTAGACGTGAAGGGGGTGGGGGGCATTGCCAGACTTGGAGGAGTAACAGCCAAGGACGGCCCTCCAGTGTCTGATGAGAGGAGTGTAGGCAGGTACCTTCAGCCTGCCACTTCAGTGATAGTAGGGGGTGATATGTGTAGTAAGGGGGAACATACAAGTTGCATTGAGGTAAAAGAAAATCCCATAAAAAACGGCATAGGTATTAAAGTTACCCCCCCTAGGGGTGCGATGGGGTCAAGAGCCCAACTTAAGTGCTTCTATATGAACGCACGCAGCATGGGCAATAAACAAGAGGAACTGGAAGCCCTTGTTAACCAGGGAAGCTATGACATAATTGCCATCACAGAAACATGGTGGGATGACTCATATGATTGGAGCGCTACCATGGATGGCTACAAGCTCTTCCAGAAGGATAGGAGGGGTGGCGGGGTTGCCCTTTATGTAAAGGAAGGTCTAAACTGCTTAGAGTTTAATGTTGGGGATGACTTGGTGGAGTGTCTGTGGGTAAAAATCAAAGGGGAGCCTATGAAGGCGGATATTGTAGTGGGAATCTGCTACAGGCCACCCTATCAGGACAGTGAGGCTGACAAACTGTTTTTTAAACAACTGGGGGAAGTCTCACGCTCACTAGCCCTTGTCCTTGTGGGTGACTTTAACCTACCGGATGTCTGCTGGAAGCATAACATGGCAGTCAGAAAACAGTCTAGGCGATTCCTGGAGTGTGTGGAGGACAACTTCCTATTGCAACTGGTCAGTGAACCGGCTAGAGAAGGTGCTCCCCTAGACATGCTGTTTGTGAACAGAGAAGGTCTCATGGGAGACGTGATGGTTGGAGGACGCCTGGGGCATAGTGACCATGAGATAATAGAATTCTCA